CTTGTTGATCTGCAGCCCCGAGTTTCTGGGGGTGGGAGGAGGAGGAGGAGGAGGAAGAATCCCGCGCAGCTGCCCGAGGCTGGGCCGGGTAGGCGGAGCTGGACAAGGGACCGGGAACGGCGTTCGCTCCCTCCGTTTAAAGGAAAGGGGGAGGCCGAAGCGAGCTGGTCTGCCCGGCGGAAGCGGCGAGGTGAGGCGAAGGGATGGCCCGGCGGGAGGGAAGGAGGGAGGGAGGGGTGACTTTCCGGGAACCCTCCGAGCCCCCTTCCCCTCACTCTCGGGGGTGCGGAGCACATCGGGGCATTCGGCCCGGCCCCAGGTTGTGTGCAACATGTTTTTAACCCTTCACAGACAAGATTTGAAGGCGCTGACTCGAGCTCCCCATCCCTACAGGTTGGCTGGAGGTCCTCTTGAGCAGGGAGTGGGGTGAGGAAAAGAGAGGTCTGGAAGGGAACTGGGTACGTAAATAGGCATCTTCTGCGTGAGAGGGGCCAACAGCTTGCCGGTGGTGACAGGCTTCCGAAAAGAAGATTTAGGACAGGAGCCTTGCCAAGGCGAGCTGGGTGGCCTGGAGACTTTGCCCACAGAACCAGCGAGACAATACAGAACCTGCTGGTCTTGGCACCTTTGGCAAGTGTCCAGTGCCAAAATTGATTGGGTTCAAGTCTGACAGGCATCTATAGCCCCTGTGGAAAATTCAGTGTATTTCTTTATCTGGAATTGGGAGGTGTGGGTGTGGATGTGGGTGCACCAGCTGCCACCCCAATTTCTCTTTGTAGCCCACTGAAGCTGCCGGAGCATTTAAGGAAAAGCTTTTAATGTCGCTGCTGTAACAGAGAATTCTGCATTTCTCTACAAGCATACATAGTTAAGAACAATTGCCTTTTTGAAACGACTCCCAGAATCTACTGGCCATGCTGTCTGGGTGATTCTAGCCCCCAAAAGTAGCTTCACTGAAAACTAGGGATGTTGATTTCTGCGTTCAGCTCAGCCGTTGTGGGGCTAGGCACCCAGAAGCACAAATCCATAAGGAACCAGGAATCCTGTTTTCTAAGAGTGTCCTGAACAAATGGCAGGATGAGGTATAGGTGGATGGGTGGCATCAGAGCATTCTCTAGAGACTCTTGAGTTGTCCAACCTGGTACAGGTCTAAAGGAAGACTTCTTTCCTTGCAGCCCTGGGATGGGAAGAGAGCATGTTGTCTCTTTATCGCTCCTTATTGATCCCAACTCGCCTGATGTTGAAGCTCTCGAACGTAGCAGCCTGGCTCGCTGTGTACGGTGGTGCCTGCCTCGCTGCCGCTTACAACCTTTCCTGGGCTCTCTGGCTGGTGTTGACTCGGGGACCCAGGCACGTCTTCCACAAGAAGAAGCGGGACACGCCGCCAAGCTGCCTCACTGATTCCTCATATGGACAGCACCACTACCTGACACTCAAGGTGAGTGCTGGAGAAGGGGAATGGGGAAGCCCTTCACAGAAACAGACTATCTGTTTTAGGGGTTTCTACCAAAGCAGGAGGTGAAGGCGTGATCTTGGGGTTCATGGCCTTCATGCACTGCTGGTATATCTGAAAGGCTGGGAGGAATGGAGTCCACTGCCTAATCTAGCCCAATAGTATCTCCTCTGTTGGTTGCTCTCCAAGATCTTGAGTGAAGGTATTTTTCCCCAGGTAATCTACCTGATCCGTCTGAGCTGGATTTGTGGGGGGCCTGAACCTGGGACTTCCTGCATGCTAAACATATATTCTGACATTGAATCAGGGTCCCTTCCTAAGGGAAAGGTGCCTTGGATGTAGGCTGTGTATTAACTGCCCCCATTTCTCTGTCCTGGGAACCCAAGGACTCAGGACTGCGTCTCCACTATGTCATGGCTGGCCAAGAAGGTGCGCAACTGATGCTTCTCTTGCATGGATTTCCTCAGAACTGGTAAGCTCTTCTGTAGTCTGTGGACACAGGAAGAGGTGACATGTGTAGAGCCCATACGTGTTTACCCTAGATGTGGCTGAAGCATGCACCCTCTGACAGGAAGCTAGTCTGACAAACAAGGTGGCAGGTGACACGTGTGGGTGGTGATGGATCCCTAGTGGCCCTTTGGAGGTGACTTGTGACTCAGCCACATGAAATTCAACCCACATCAGCAACGGGTGTATGACTCTTAGTACCTCACATTATAATTACACAGCATTTATTATCAGTTCTATATTAAGTGGAATGCAAGAGCCAAAAGAGTGTGATAAGATTGTTGGACTGGAACTTGGGAGATCAAAAGAGTGTAGAGATAAGATTGTTGGACTGGAACTTGGGAGATGCAGGATCTGGTCCCCACCAAGCCAGGAAAGTCACTCTCTCACTTTATTTCTTAGGGTTATTGTGAGGGTAAGGCAGGGAGATGGAAAGGCATGTACTCCACTGTGTGCTCACTGGAGAGAAAGTTACAAGATACAAACATTGCTCCTAACAAAATTACAGTTTTGATGATGGAAAGACAGTCAAATTACCTTTAGGCATTGCTTGGTGGGGAGATTTTTGCTACTGCGGGATGAGGAAAGGAAGGTGAATGTGAAAAAGGTCAAATTACCTTTAGGCAGTGCTTGGTGGGGAGATTATTGCTACTGCGGGATGAGGAAAGGAAGGTGGAGGAATGAGAATGATGTCTTATTTGTTTAGAATCAAAGAAGTCCATCTTTGTATTTATCTTATACTGGTTTGGCTGTATTGACTAGGTTCACGTGGCGCCACCAACTGCATGAATTCAAGCAAGCATTTAAGGTGGTGGCCCTTGATTTGAAAGGCTATGGCTCTTCTGACGCACCAGCTGGTCGTGAACACTATCACAGGGATTCTGTGCTAGAGGATGTGCGAGGTGTAGTGGAAGCCCTGGCCTCCAGTGAAAAGAACGGTGAGAAACCATTATGATGGCAGGAGGAGGAGGTTGACGCTGCCAATCCCTGCAGCACGGGCAATTATAGAGGGACAGTTACTCTTTTCCAACCCACCTGTGGATGGAAAGAGAGAGCCTCTTCTTCTTGGGTGGAATACGGTTGGATTGGCTTTCTGTGAATGAACAAAAGTTTGGGTTTGGGCGGTGCTATAGCAGGCATGCACACCTCTCCATTCTCTTCGCTCAAATGTTTTGTATCTGCTTTGTTTTTTAGCAACACCTAAGTGCATCCTAGTGGGTCATGACTGGGGCGGGTGCATTGCCATTGAATTTGCTGCCACTTATCCCAACATGGTGGAGAAGCTGGTCATCATGAACGGTTGTCAGTCACAGGTCTTCCCAGGTGAGGCTGAGGACACCTTACGTTGCAATGCTCACCATATGTATTGTGTCCAGTGATTGGTATGATCTGGCTCCAACCCAGATTGGGAAAGAAGAGTCCGAGTCCCTGATTGACAGCTATTCTGACTGCATTGAATGCAGTGTAAAAAATGATGATGGCAACTAATAAAACCCTCTGTCACAGGAAACTGCCAAACGAATCTTGGAATAGATCAAGGGCAGAGAAGGTCTTTCAAGCCAAGGCCAACTTCCGTTCAGCAAGGGGAGGGCAGGTGGAGAGGCAAAGGGGTGGGACAAAAGAAACCCATTAGGTTTTATCCAAGTCTCAGCAAAGGCATTTCAACCTTTTAAAATGGGGGAGGGGGAAGAAACCCTTGCAAAAGTTGAGAAACGACTAGAAAATGATCTCATGGGGAGGGGGTAGGATCTCTGGGGAGTCCTGAGGGCCAAACTGAAACTCCAAGAGGGCTGGGTATCTTTTCAGGGCCTGAGGCCCTCCCAGCCACACCAAAACAGGTAAACAGCCACACCAAGAAAGCTGTGTCTGTTCACGAACTGCAGGAGTGGCGCTCTAGGTGCCCCCCTCCCCTCCCCTTTGACTGTGCTAGCAAGGGCTGATAGGACTTGCAGTCCAAGCACATCTGGAGGGCCACATGATATGACTAGAATGAAAGAGGCAGTAGAATTCGACAGGCCTCCAAGTGGAAAGGGCTAAGTTTAGCAGTTCTGATAAAGCTTGGGAAAGCAGATGTGCTTTTGCCTGTTGCCTAAAGTAGTAACAAGGGCACCAGCACAGCCCAGGTGGGTTCCTAGGTATCGTAGTGTCTACCTTTTCTGGGAACAAGGCCTATCTGCCATAACATCTTTTCCCCTTCAACATGGCAGAATATATTCTTCAGCATCCCAGCCAGCTGCTGAAATCTGAATACATGTTCCTGTTCCAACTCCCCAAGCTGCCAGAGTTCCTGCTGTCCTTGGATGACTTCTGTGTGAGTGGGGGGAAACTCTTGTCTTGCTGGTGGGGGAGGGGCACCGAGGGCTCCTGGCTGGCCATGCTGGGAATGTAAGCAAAGGAACTCCTTTGTTAAGACCATATACATCCATGCATTTCCTTCAGTCTTGAACTACAAATCTTCACCATGTTATCTCCATATCTTTCTGCCAAGCTGCTTTCAGCTATGCATGCAGGATTGTGGCTCTGGCGGTCTCTCTTTTTTTATACTTTTTAAATTTTATTTATACTCAGTCTTTCTCCCAATACAACTTCTGGTGCAACTGAACAGGAGTTTGTCCTGGGTTGACATAAACTTCGCTATATGACACAGTAGCATTTAAACTGTTCATATACAAAAGTTAAATTTCCAGGGAGTTGTGTTTCAAGTATTCACACATCACATAGTGCCTTTCCCCTCACCCTTCTCTGCCATCATCTTTCCCATCCTTTTGGCCAGCATTAAAATTATTTCCTTTTTAAAAAAATGTTTAGCAAGTGGAATTGCACTGCACTTATACAACCATGTAAAAATGCGAGTAGATAAATGGGTACCACCTTGGTGGGAAGGTAACAGTGTTCCGTGTCTAATCGTGCTGGCCACGTGACCACAGAAACTGTCTATGGACAAATGCTGGCTCTACGACTTGGAAACGGGGATGAGCACCGAGCCCTAGAGTCGGACACGACTGGACTAAATGTCAAGGGGAACCTTTACCTTTACCTAAGCTTTTATATCAGTCTTGTATCAGTTTAGTGCTATAGTGAAGAAAAATGTTTTTTAAAATACATTTACAAATTGCTTTTCAGTTGTAGCCATTACCAATACAAACAGAAGGCAGGCAAAAAGTAGTAGGATTCACTCCCTCTCTGTGCATCATTAATATTGTCATCTGGACATTCCCATCAACTAAGTCAGGAGACCAATATAAGCAATTGTACAAGCCGAAAGCAAAAAAATAAAATAAAAAACTAAAAAAATGTAAATGGAAATGCTACCGAAAGAAAGAAAGAAGCCCTACTTGCTGGACAAAATATACTCCATACTTATGCCAGTCGATCAGATCTACTTACGATTAGCACTAACATCATGTTGTCTATAGCAGCAGTCCCCAACCTTTTTGGGACCGTGGACTGGTTGGGGGGTGCGGGCTCCATGTGTGTGAGGACACCCCCACGCTCAGGGGTGGGCGTGTCGCGCTTGCGGAGGGGTGTGTTGCGCATGCAAGCAAGCGCAGCACGCCCACACACGAGCACGGCACGCCTACTCACAAGTGCGACACGCCCACCATGCAGGCGGGTGGGGGGATGGAGAGCTGTCTCCATGGCCAAGTTCCAGGAAGCCCATGGACAGGCACCAGGCCGTGGACCATGGGTTGGGGAGCCTGTTTTATAGGATAAATATCAAAAGAAACAGTGAGGAACATGGTCTGTGTAATGGCCACTTGAAGAACCAGAGTTACAGGCAAGCAACCTGTTCTTCCTTTTATGACCAGTCCAGTTTTTTTCTGGTAAGTTTCCAGTGAGTAAACACATAAAAGGCATGACCTAGTGACCTGCATTCTCTGTGGATCTTAACATCCCTGCTGGAGGATGTAAAGCTTTCCACATGTTATTAGGCTGTAGTTCCCGTCCACCATAGCTAGGACAGCTAATAGCAGGGGGTGACTGTTGTAACTCAACATCTGGAAGACCAGGGATTTCCTACCTATTTATGCAGGGTTAGAGCCTGTGTCCAGTCAGCCTCCAGCTCCTGCTGTGTTCTTCTTCTTTCTACAGTATATAAAGCAACTTTTCACCAGCAAGAAGGCAGGAATCCAGAATCCAGCACGGCGTTTGACAGAGGAGGAGTTGGAGGCTTATATTTATGGCTTGGCACAACCTGGCCGTTTGACTCCACCGCTGAATTACTACCGGAACATGTTCACGTGAGCCCTGAGTCCTTTCTGTTTGTCTTCCTGGGTGGTGTTGGCACTTCTTAGATGGAGGCGTGGGATGATATTTGAGCCCTTTGTTCAGGGAGGGCAGCTTGGCAGCAGCCCTTTTTCCTTTCTGATCCTAATTTTCAGTAAAGGACACAAGGTCTCTGTTCGTAGGATTGTTTAAATGACTATTCAAATAATAACAGGCCCCCCTTCCTCCTAATATGTCTGAAGAGGCAAGTAGGTGGGGTAAATCCTGTGACTTTTCCAAAAGGGATTTTGACCCACTTTAATTTGTAATAAAATGGAGGAATGCTGGGTTGCAGGGGGCAAGCTAAACGGTGGGAAAGTTTTCTTTGTAGATCCCCATGGGATGGTTTTTCTCTGTATCTGCTGTGCTTGTGTCCACATGAAAATGGCAAGACCAGCCCTGGGTGGAGTATGTTGGAAAAATAAGGAACTACTGGTTGCCCGGTGCTTGATCTAAACATTTGTTATCTGTTATGTTTGCAGCTGGGGTCCAGCGAAGTGCAAGGACATACTGATGCCCACTCTGCTAATCTGGGGAGAGAAGGATGCATTCCTGGAACCAGGGGTTGCTCAGCTGATGAAGCACAATGTCCGGAAAAGTGTTCAGGTGAAGCTTATCCCTGAAGCCAGCCACTGGACACACGAGGATCAGCCTGAAGAGATCAATCAACTCTTATGGTCTTTCCTGTTGGAAAGAGGGTGTGAGGGCGAGACACAGTAAGTGCTCCACATGGCATGCAGGAAAAGAGCCACAGAGGCAACTTGGTGTGAATCAGAGTGCTGGTCCTTTCCAGTGTTCAGCAGGGTCTTTCCTGTACTACCTTGGAACCCAAGTCCCATGGAAAGGGATGTTTTTGCCCCTAGTATCTTACACTACAACCAGGAAAGCTGCTTTGAGGTTTCTGCTTGAGTGAAACCAGAGACAACTATATTTGGCCAAAGGGCTTTGGAGTCACTTCCTGTTGTGGAAGGCACCGACGCCCTCTAGAAGAGCAAGCCTTTCCTTCTCTGTTTCATGTCCTCTGTGCCTTGACGTGGTGGAATCCTAAGTGAAGCCCTATGGGTTTCTGTGCTCTTCCTTGTTTTCCTTTTCACCAACACTTCCCAGCCTTGGCAACTTGCACTGCAAGGGCTACAAGGGAAAGAAACTCATTCGGATCCTTTTGAAATCAAAATGATTGCATCCTCTGCCTTTAGTGTGTGTCTGGAAAGTGCTGTTATACTTCAGGAGTAGGTTGCCTCTTAACATGAGAGGTACAAATGTACCTGTAAACTCAAACAACAGGTTTTGGATGTGTTGAGGAGAGGCTGGAAATTATCTGTTGTGCTGACCAAAGAGAAGGTGTAATAATCACCTTTTTTTCAGCTTCTGGAAAGTTTTACATCTGTCTGGGGGAAAAATGCCAGCCATGCTTTGGAAGCACCATCAGTTTTTCCATGAAGATACATTTGTATAAAAGAAGGTTTTTGACATTACAGTTGTTTTTCCTAACCTGACCCTGTTCCACATAGCCTGTGTTTGGAAATGGAAAGGGAAGACACTGTTGCCTTTTGGGGAGGTTCCAACGAGAGGAGGAGGGTTTCCTGGATGGATTGCGCTAGGAGATGTGCTATTGCTGATGAGGTGAGATGGGAGCAGAGGATGAGGCTTTAATCCTAATGCTTGACTAAAGGCAGCTGTTTCAGCCCTCAGGGACAGGCACCTGGAGCAGGCCTCCAGCTTTCCTGAAGAACATGTTCTGGATTGGAGAACCTGTGGTGGATCTCTCTCTCTCTGCAGTGAACGAGACCAAGTTAAGTGTGCATGTCTGAATACATGTTGACTTTGTGTGCAGCTTGGCCCTTCATGGACATCTAATGGTTTTCATGCACACACACCCCGCACGCACACACACTTTTTTTCTACAACGCATTATGCATAACCTGGCATAATTGCCTTGGGCCAATTCAAGATGCTTTTTTCTACACTCTTCTTTTAGGGTAGTTTGTTGGCATGCCACAATATATAAGCATTATTAATAGTAGGTGAAGAGTCCCATTAGGTACAGGTCAAAGTGCCCGGAGATGCGGCACACATATTACAGATTGCAGGTAAAAACAGATCTTTATTGTGTTATAGCTGGTGAAGCCTTGATGTGAGAACAAGGGGCACCATAGTGAAATGTCAGCTGTCACACACACACCCTTTTTTTGCTCTTTGGCAAGAGCACACAGATGTTTGCCCCCTTATTCCTCAGAATAGTGTGTTGCTCCACAGTCATATAAATAATTAAGCATGTTATTTCCATGCCCTGCTATTGTTGCTGATGGAACAGAGAACATGTCACAGGCCAAGAGTTCCCAAACTTGGAAGCTAGGTGTTTTGAACTACAACCCCCAGGAGTTCTCACCATTAGCTTTACTGGCTAGTGTTTCTGGGAATTGTAGTTCAAGGACCTCTGACTCTCCAGATTTGGGAACTACTGCCTTAAGGTCTGCCTCCATCATATTGTGGCCAGAATTCTGCTGGTGTTTGTGGAGTAGCTCTGTAACTTGCTGTGGCTAATTGACAAGGGACTGAGCCCATATCAGTCATATGGATCCTGGCACTTCATCAGTTAGCTATGGCGAAGGATGGGTTTACTCCATAAATATTGAAAGGATCGTGACCTGTATTTGTGCACCTTATCAAAATGAATACTTTGAGTAAACTCTATGCTTTTTCATCTCCTGTTCTACTGGATGTATGGCTTAGATTTATTGTGCTTAGATATGACACCAGGGGGTAGTGTTGCAGCAGAATTCCTGTTTATATCTTTGTACGTATTGAAGCACGTTCTGGACATATTTTTATAATCTAAATACTTAAAAAGCATCACACCAAATGGTTCTGAAGGGGAGAAAACCACCCAATGATTGCAAAATCAAGTTTATTTGAATTTCTCATGAAAATCCAACACACACTCCTTTTGAGCATGTCATTTTGTCCAAAAAGCTTCCATAGCAAACAGTGCTGATTTAGGTATACACAGGCACTAACATTCTATGGATTTAATTATAGAACTTACAGCGGGTACTGGAGTAAAGACCACTAACCTTGACTGTCACTCAAGCAAGGGCTATTTCCCATGTGCACGTCGGCACAGGATCAACAAGGCACTTCTTTCTTATTGCAGGCACATACTCTGTGCAAGTCATAGTCTACCCTGCTATGGTTTATATTGTACCTTCTATCATAGGCCTCCACCTCCAGGCTTTTATAAGGTGGTGGAATAGTTGTTTGCCTTAATCCAGTGACAGGAAACATGTAGCTCTCCAGGTGCTGTTGACACACTGCAACTCCCATCAGCCTTAGGCAGCATAGTCAAAGCCTGTGTGTTTGAAATGCCTCCCTTTGGAGTGATGGGGATACATATTTCCAGTTGTTTACACTTGTGAATCCAGTGACACCATCTGTAATGTTATGATCACTTTGCAAGTACTGATGCATCTGGATTACATTGTCTTCTGACTCCACTCTTTTCTCCGGAGCTACTTTGTGGCATTCACATATGCTGGGAGGCTGTTATGAAACACATACCCTTGCAGTGGCCTCAAATTCATCATGGCACATGGGCTTTTTTGTGAGAGGTCGTGGGAAAGGCCCGAAGGCTATTGATGGGTAGAAATTAAGCCCACTTAATTGGCTTACCTAGTGTGGAGATCAAGGGTGAAGGTGGCCTGGATTCAACCCCAACCCTATAAGTGCCTAGTATTATCAAAGTATACACTCCCGTCCAGATTTTTGGCCTCAACCGTAGCCCCTGTTCTGCTGGCAATCCTGAGAGCGTAAGTGCCTAGTATTATCAAAGTATACCCTCCCGTCCAGATTTTTGGCCTCAACCATAGCCCCTGTTCTGCTGGCAATCCTGAGAGCTGGATAGGGTTCAAGGACCTGTACTTGCATCCCTTCATACGATGAAGGAGTTTGAATTCAGGAGTTTGCTCCTAGTTTCTCCCTTATCACTAGCTGTCCTTAATCCTGTGGGTCATCCCAATCCAATTTTCTTTCTTTATTTGTTATGTTTATAACCTGCCTTTTCTCCATGAGCTCAAGCCAACATAATAGTACATCGTTCTTCTCCTCCATAGTGTTTAGCGTTTTGACAAACCTGTCGGGTAGCTCAGGCTCCAAGGCAGCTCAGGTTATCCACCCATGAGTTCCACTTCTTGTAGAGAGCGTTGAACCCAGACGTCCTGCATCTCTGAAAAGCAGTCTTAACTGCTACGCCACAACGGCTGTCACATTTTCTCAGTTGACTCTTCCACACCAGCCCTTGTCCTCCTCGCGGGGGGAAAAAAACCCAAACAAATCAGAAACAGAAAAGATTATTTAAAAATTGACCACCTGATCAAATGATTGTTTTGATCATTAGTTCTGAGTGTTCAGTAGTAGAACTATTCAGGGTAAGGCTCTGAGAAGATTGTACAAAAGGATGGGTTTATGCCCTGCAGAAATTAAAGTTAAGGATACAAGCTTTTCAAATCCATGTTTCCTTCATTCTGTCGGACTGACCGCCATCAGTCAGGAATGCTGTAGCTCTGGATTTTCTGGGGAAAAAAAAGCAAAGGGTTGAACTAGCTGGCCTGTAAGTTATCCCCGCCCCCACAAGCTCTCTTTTGTTATGAATTAACAAGGTGCATACCTAGAAGCTACACAGAGACCATGATCAGCAGATTAGTGTTCTTTTCATAGGAAATATTTAGCCAAAGGGCAGATTTGGCCAATCAGGCTCATGCAACCAACCTTTCCCACTTCCATGCAACTTTGTATCTCCCGAAGGCCAGGCTCTCAACTTGCATATAGGCACAGAAAACTTTCTCAAGCCTAGGCAGGCCAAATGGGAGCCTCCAGATGTTGTTTTGCGGCAACTTTAGTGGGTCCTAGCTAGCCTGTGTGCATGTGCTATCGGGTTGGAACTGACTTCTTGCAACCCTAATAGGGCTTTCAAGGTAAGTGAGAATGATTTTACCAGTACCACTCGCCCAGTGAGTTTCTATTGCCGAGTAGGGATTCAAACCCCTAGTCCCAGTCTGTTACTCTGTTTGCAACACCACTCTGAGAATCACCTATCGAGCCTACATGATGATAAAGAATGCTGTGATTTGCAGTTCAACCACATCTGGAGGGTTTGCATTTTGTCTACTCCTGTTCTTGGCATCTTTCTTTATTCCTGCTCCTACAACATGTGGAGGAGGTTTTCTTGGTCTAGATCAGTGGCTCCAAACTTTGGGCAACCCAGGTGTTCTTGGACTGCAACTCCCAGAAGCCTTCACCACTTGCTGTGCTGACTGGGGTTTCTGGGGGTTGGAAGTCCAGGAACACCTGGCTTCCCCACTGCTCTAGGTCAAAGAGGAGTGAAAAAGAGCAACTGCTCTGTTTCTGGAACAGAAGCCCTTCCTGCCCTGACAGAAGTGGCACGTGGTGCACGTGGCCCTGTAGCGGTGGCATAGGCACTCCTATCCCCTCCCTGGAACAGAAGCCTGTTCCCAGCCCTGCAAGCAAAAGGGCCAAAAGGTACGTCTCTCAATTTGTCAGCTTCTCGAAAAAACATGGCGGCGAGAAAAGGAAGAATGAATCTACCTTTGTCTTCAAGGAAGATAAACTTCCTTTCCTAACCAGTCTGGGGACACCAGGAAAGGAGACCAGACAGAGCCATAAAAGCTGAGTTGGCAAATGGAAATATGACATCACTGCTGTTACTGCAGTGACATCCCCGAACATTTCATAATACGTTGTGAAACGTTTGGGATCTTACCCTCTCTTTTCTGGAATTCATTTCACCTGGCATGGAGAGCTGGCTGTCCCTCTCAATTTCCTTCTAGCCTCAGCCTTGCAGCAGAGATATTATTGCCGTCATACTTACAGAAGCGAGGCTTCTTATAACAAGCCCTTTTGCTTCGGGCTGGGACTTCCATGGGATGTTTCGTTCTGTTGCTGAAAGGAGAACTTTGAGTAGCTTTGTCTTCCTCTGCTGTCAGGCCCTGTTGGCCGGAGCAAAGTGAGTGCCTCTCAGTCAAAGGGCAGGGGCAACTACCCCCCCCCCTCCAGCACCGCTGTGTGTAAATAACATTTCTGTTCCTGTAGGAAGTGGTGCCCTCTGGCCAGGGAGGGGAGGGAGCTAGGCCAGAGGTTGCTGTGAATGAGGCTCTGCAAGGCCTGGAAAGGAGCCAGCCGGAGACTTATCTCCACACGTCTGGCCCTCGGCCAACATCCACCCCCCATCCCGCCATCCCTGTTCTGCTGTGGGAACATTCTTACTCAAGCATAAGAAATGCTTTGCTCTGCCTAATAGCTTGCACATGGTGGGAGGGCCTAGCCTTGGGAATGTGTAGTTTAAATCCTGCATGCAACTTGCATCACATGTCTCTCTTTCTCTTAACACACACACACTCCCCAATTGCAAGATGAAAGTGTTACCTCCTTTGCCGTAACCTTGAATACCAAGCACCCTGTAGACTAAAGGAGATGCAGGCCAGCAGCCATGGATATTCTTCAGACAATAAAGCCACAGATTGTTCAAGGAAAGGCAACACACCTCCCTGGCCCTGGTCTGTGTAATGAAATAGATGGGTTTTATTTCTGGAAGCAGCACCTAACAGATGCCAGCAGCAAGGAACACACAAGAGTAATTGTAATAATAATATAGAGAAATAACATTTCTCTATACAAAGGTAAGAGGTAACTGCTTCTGGAGCTGGACTGGGATACCCTCTTCAGTAGAAAGAGCTAGCCATGGCTCAAGCCAGGAATGTGATGCTCAACCAATGCTGAAATGCATCTGTTTTAAAGGTCCACCTGTGTTAGGCAGAAATCCTTTAGACCAACTGCCTTCTGCTTCATAACAAATAGATTTTCCCCCCAGCCTGCTACTGAACTCACGTCATTGCAGAGGGATTCTACACCCCATAAATGCTTCTGGGTTTGAGATAATTCTGTTGCACTATTTTTAAGGGTACCAGCAGATGTATTGCAAAACAATTGTTAAGAAACTTGCTGGGTTTAATACAAAATCAAGGTTGGATAATCTTAGAACTACAGAGCTGGAAGGGACCCAATGGATCATCAAGTCCAGCCCCTATCAAAGAGGTGCAGTGGGGAATTGAACTCCCAGCCAGAGATCTAAGCTACTGAGCTATCCAGTACTTCTACCTTTATTAGATCACTAAAATATCCTAGTTTAGGCAGCTAGATGTTGAAACTACAGGGTTTGAATTTAAAGGAGGTAACACTTTCAAACTAAGATACAAATTGCAACCTTGAAGAATCAGCTTGAAGTGTCAAGGGATCAAATTCAACCTCTAGCCAAGATTATTTTGGACGTTTTCCTTTTCTTTCCTCACTTCCAACTCTGCAGTGCTCAGCTGACGAAGAGTCCTAAGGACTCAAAAGCTTGCCTTTTATGAATACTTCAGTTGTCCAATAAAGTATTACTCAATCTTGATTTTGGAGTTCACTCAGACCACACAGCTGGTTTTTTAAATCTGTTTCTGTTTTACTTGGTTTGCTTGCTAGATTTTGTTCCATCATAAACTGCATTGACTGCCTGGAAATCTTTCTTTAACTTCTAGCTCTATGGGATGAAATCTGGATATTTAGTAGGGTAAGAAGCATACCCTACTGTATGACTAGAGACACTTGGATCTTATAATATTGATACATTGAAGATCTAGAACCTAACAATAGAAACCAGGTCTGGAACTGTGCTCTAACGCCTTTTAGTTTGGATTGATTTCTGCATCTTAGGTCTTGTGTTGCAACAGTAAAATGCAAATTTGTTCCCCTTTTTTGAGTGTCTTGTTTGGATTCCCATTCCTGAAAAATGTGGAGCCCTGCCTTCATTTTCAGTCGCTGACTACAAAAATTATTCCAATACAACAAGCAGCAGCCGTTCCAGGGACACCTGTATGAAGCTGGAGGTTCTTCCCGTTTCCTGATTTATAGCTGTCATTCCTTTATTTCATTGTTCTTCACTGGGTGGGTTGGGACATATGAATGAGTCATGCCATGGCCAATGAGGTCAATTGCACTAGTGACATCACTGTAGCCTGCTTCATTTGCTCCTTTTATCTGTGTATTTTTCTCAAGAGAATGAAATTAATGAAGAGGAACAAAGAAGGAGATGGTGGGGGCAAAGTAGAGTAGAAATAACCAGAAATGTAGTAGTAAATTGAAATGTGCAGGTGCTCTTCAGTCAACATAGCCAGATCCATAAGCAGAGTCAAAAAAATGCAGGCAACTGGATTCGTCTATACCAATGTCGTCTATATCAATGAATGATGAGCAGATAATTTGTAAATTTAATAGCTCTCAACTGCCCATTCTAGATAAAGCACTCTCCAATACTTTGCATAGTAGAATGGACAGCTTGCAACAATAGCTATTCTTTAAAATCTATTCCTTTCCCAACTGTTACAAGGATTGCAGTCTAAGCTCAGATAAAGCAGGGAAGCCACAGGTGATGTGATAGTCTCTGCAACTTAGAAAAGCTTTAACCTTGCAAGCCCTGGCTCCACCACTGAACCAGACTAAGTCACATAGTAAAAAGTTTAACATCAAGAGGGCTAAAAGTCAGTCCTGGCTCTTAAAAAAAAGCAGAAGCCAGTAAAAAGGCAAAACCTCCAAACCCTGTAATAAGCTCTAGAGTGCAATCTCGCTGGGAGTAATGAAACAAATAAAACAAAATAAATAAAGACTGCAAATCCCAGACCCCTGCAAGGTTGTGCCCCATGGACTTCCTCAGCAGCTTATCAGGGTCTAAACAATGTTTTGGTCCAAGTGGGAATTCAATTCTTTGGGTACAGCATAATTCACAAACAGCAAGCTCACCAGCAAATTCAGAGTACCCATTCATTTGCAAGTACCATGGAGCCACCAAAAATCCAAGGGAGTCATTTCCACATATTTGTGGGAATTCTGATTTGTGGGCTCTAGAAGTATATGCATCTGATAAAGTGGGCCCTAGTCAATGAAAGCCCATACGTTAGTCTTGAAAATGACACAGCACTCTGCCGCTGTCATTAACACAGCTACTCCTTTGGAGGAGTATACGGATACACTGTATGAATGAAAAGAAAAAGGCATTGAAGAAAGGCTGGAAGAGACCTGTGAGTTTCTGCTCTAGCAGAACACTGATGGCTGCTGCAAATCCATTTATCTTTGGGTATCCACTGAATCTCTGTTTGAGTGCACATGATACTGGAATTCAGGGAGTCGTGGGGAAGGGAAGGGCAGGAACTGGTCCTGTGAAACCTTTCAATGAGTATCCTAGACTAGAGGACTAAGCTCTGGGGAACGTGTGTCATGAGGGACTCTCCCATTCATTCCACTGGAAGAACTATGAGGCTCCTGTCCCAAGTGCTATAAAGAGGAGGTACTCCTCTCACAGAACAGGCATCTGCTGTGAAATGGTGTTATAGGTCCCACTTGTGACAGCTTGGAAAATTGCTTTCAATTAGAGCTGTAGTTATAAGGCCCAATGGGGTCAGTTGTTTGTTTGCTTGTTTGTTTTATAGACCACCTTTCTCCTGATAAGGTGACCCATTGTTATCATTATGGTTTCACTTTTTAAGACATCAATTCTACTTTTATTTGGAGAAACGTAAACAAGCTGGCTAATATTAAAAAGATATGAAGGCCGTGGTACAAACAAAATCTAAGTACCGTACAATGGCTTTAGAAATAAATACACATGCAGGATAGCATTTAAAAATATATATTTTCATTGAACTAATGAGAGAATGGGGTGATACTATTTGCACACTAGCATTTTTATGTTTATTTCTTTTGCAACCCTTGCGTTTGACTCAAACGTAATCATCGTGCAGATCGTTGTGCAGGCACGTCAACAAAATATTCCCCTGACACCACTGACAACTTCTATGTACCGTAGGTCTACTGAAAAGAAACAGTGAAAGGCAGCACAATATTGACTTAAAGAACTAATTTATCCGTGCCTCCCCAGAACTAAAGCACACTGGATTGTCTTCTCAGAAGTAAATGCAAGGAGAGTGAGCAGAAGCAGCAAATTCTTCCCCTTTGTAATGCAAGAGCAGCAATTACAGTGAAGATGACGCTAATTTACACAAGACAAAAATACTGCTTTGAAGCTATATGTTCCCGTTTCAACTGCACATTCACAAAAAGAAAGTAACATTCAGTATAACACTTAAAAGTTACAGCCACACTATAAATGAAGTTAAAGTCACAGATAACTTAAGTAAAGTCACTGGCCAGAATCCTATTGGGGTTTTACTCCAAAGTAGTTAAATTATGTAAATAGTTGCAATAAATTGTCACAAGGAATGAATGCACAGGCAGGCAACTAGGCAAATGGCTGGCATGTTGTTTATTACAGTAATTGCAATTCACTGCCATGATTTATACAAGTTCATTTATTCTGCAGTAAAATCCCAATAGGATTCTGTTCATTATAGTTACTGGCAATGGAGCTAATTGCAAATAACTTTTTATTTGTAATACATGATCTCCATGCTCTGTAAGCCATCTATAAGCAAGGAATTAAGCTCTCTATGCATCCCAGAAAGACATATTTCTTTCTTATCAAGGGGGTACCCTACCAGCATGGCTGGCCCAAGACTTCACTCTTTTACAACATGCTCCCAAGAAGGCTGGAATGTCACTACAAATCAACATGACCCCTGAGGTCAATTCACTTGGGAGCAAAGACAGAAGTGTTTGGTTCACAGGGAACAATTTGCTGGTGGGAGAGAAGCATGCCTTGAGGAGGCCCACCGTTTCTTCTGGGATGAGGCAGCCAGCAGGGGTACTCGGCACCCAACTATTTATTTGTACCTTCCCGAGAAAGAATTAATAACTACGGAAATGGAAGCAAGAATAGATTTCAGTTTTGCAGAAAAACATGGGAAGGCAAGCTTTAAAACTGATTTTTTGCTCTGCAAGGAAAATGCTCTGTTTGCTTTGAAGCTAAAGTGAAATGAAATTCCCCTTACCCTAATTTGATCTATCACGATCTGGCAGAAGGAAATCTACTTATCAAAAAGGATAGGTGGGTTGGTCTCAGTACACACACACACACAGAGTACTAAAGTTGTAGTTGTTATGTTACCTTCTGTATGGCTTGGAAGGTGGAAGGTGCTTGCCAGCTCAACTAGTAGCTCCTGATGAAGAAGGCAACAGTGAAC